TGTACGAGTCAGTGCTTTTTTCTTCCCAGACGAGACTGACTCTAATTAACCGAACCCGGAGGGATGGAAGGCTTACTCATCAAGGGCAATATCAACCCGGGATGGGTGTGAGATAGTGCGTTACCTGCCACAACACCACCAACACCCTAAATTTCTGATGATAAGAAATAAATGATGCTACATTTGTCAAATACTATGCTTTCAAATACTCACTATCTCGCACATTTCCTCTTCCTATTTTTTCGTGTTCCATGGGAGGTGTGTCGTCAAAGATTTCGCAGAACGCAGGCAATGGAGAATCCTCAAGATCAATTACGTGAATAAGGACCGGTTCTCTCTTATTTTTTGTGCTTAATCCTACTACCATAATAATTCTTTTGAAAAAACGTGCGAACTTGTTATTTCTACTCTGAAGGATAGATTCGTGGAGAGAATGTTCCTTACCACATCAGCATACGAAAATGATGGCTTTGATAGGCGATACTTTCCGTTCCCTTTCCGTGTAAAATCATAACTACCGGTACAGAAGCGGTGTTCGTTTTCCGTTATGCCGTTGACCAAGTTATAGTAGTCCTGTTAAAAACTGGTAAAATAACATAAATTGTGAAGTTTTTTTGGCATCGATCTATTCCGAGTTAGGATGCATCCCCACATTCGAAGCCCATTCAGGATCACAGTGGCGTTTTAAAAGGATATGTGGCCTGTCACTGTGCGTAAGTCAGTAGTTTTGTCATCCCAGACGAGCTCACTATCAATCAGCCAACCCTAGGAGGATGGAAGGCTGGGCAGGCTTGGGCGAGTCGAGGTTTGCTAGTGTCTCTTTCTCAGTAATACTCTAGCCAAACCTAAATAGGCAAGCGCTTACAATGGTTAATCTGCACGATACACGAAAGCCAAGCAGTATCTTATGATTCATATAAATGGAAATCACCCTTTCTTCGAGGTTATCCGTGTAGCAATATACAGTTCCGGTAATTGGGAAGCAAGTTGCGAGCATAGAAAACCAGAACAAATTTCCTTAAAAACGGCGAACACATTTTGTAAATATTAGAGAGATAATGGACCTTATTGAACATCCTAGGTTCACCAACTATTTTGCAGGAAATCAACAGCACAATCTAATGAAGTTATATGTTCTCTGAAAAGATAGCCCTCTCCTATATTACTGTTCTGCTAGCACTCGTGTGAACAGGAGGACCACTGCCGATTTTGTGCCTTCTTTAAAGCCGTCTAGTTGGTCTTCTGCGGTCTGTAGATCTCGATTTTCCTCAGATTTAACACGATATCATTCTCTGTCAGAACATCCTGTCACTTTTGCAGAGGGCACATAAGCTTTTCCAATTGCCATTAAAGCGTTGTCGGTAGTGGCAGTAATGGTCTGATGGATAACAGTGTAGGCTCACGTCTGCATTTCGAGGCGATGCTAGTTCGATGCTTGCCGAGGCAGCTCCATGGGTCGCAAAAATTGCAAAAATGGTATCGGTTCCAGCGTGAGGCTTAGGATGACACAGCCGATGGAGAAACCTAGTCACAACAAACATGTCTGAAGTTCCGAAAATATCAGTGAAGGCTAGGACGTCATTCGGAAAAGGCGCACAGGACCCGAGTTCTGTGGGCAGTACACGAGGGCTAACGAGGAGTGAACGATTTCGGACAAGGACTTTAGTTCGAATAGAGACTCTAAATGTGGGGTCGCTTACATTGAAGTCTCAAGGTCTCTGATTCTATGAAGTGCAGGAACATTCAAGTTCCATGCCTTCAGAGAAAGTTCTAAGGCCAGAGAAATAGGAAACTGTGTCAAACGTTTCTATAATGAAGAAGACACTAAACGAAACGGTGTGGTCATAGCAGGGGCAGAATCCCTCGAATACTGCCTCCGCCGTCGACAGATTTGCAGTCGAATCATGGCTGTGAAGATATACAACAAGGAGGGGTCCCGGACAATAATATCAGTGTGCGCACACAAGCCGGCTACCCGTCTACGAGATGGATGGATTCTATTTGAGGGGACTATCTCACTATAGGGGGTGATCTGAAGGCACGATGACAGCTGAGAGAAGGACTGGAAAGGATTTTCGGACGTAGAGGAGTAGGATTCAAAAACGAAGAAGGAGAGCTCTGGCCATAGTCCACGACTTCGAAGTCTGCAGCACCTTCTTCGCGAAAAGGAAGTCTTAGAAGGTAACCTCCAGCAGTGGACGGAAAAAACAAATAGAGATCATCTGCTAGTAGGAACATCGTCCCCCAAAACTGTGAAGGTACTGCCTGGAGAAGATCTAGCTCTACAGCACAGGCCTCTCCTGGCAAACATAGCAATCGATCACCCCAAGAAACCAAAGACAAGAATGGAACGCAGGATCTGGTGATGGAAGTTGCACTGTTTCGAAAAAGAACACCTCAGAGAGAAGATACTGGAAGCTAGACTTCCAGATCCCGAAGGGACGATCCGGCCGACCTGGAGGAAAACCGCAAAGGTCATCCTGCGATGTGCAGAAGAAACCCTAAGGGAAACTCTAGGTGGTGTCCGAGAGGACAGAGAAGCATGGTTCCGCAAAACGATGAAGCCTCACGAGTTGTGAGGCAGAAGAAATCGGCCTACAAACGCCAGCAAAGGACATGAGCCACAGGGTATCTGGTTGCCTAGAAAACTTCCAAGAGGCTCGCCAAAGCTGCTGTCGCGAAGGCGAAGAACACGGAAATGGACACCGTGTATGAGAAACTCGACAGTCGAGAAGGAGAGAA